AAAGTTTACATTTAAAAAGATATATCAGGCAAATTCTGACATTCTGGGACCTTAATCCAATTTCAGGACCTGTAGTGGCTCAGCAGTGAGCTGCCTCCCATCCCTGAAAGTGCCAGACTATTTTCCATTCACTTTTAACTCCCAGGTTTAGCTCTTCAGGATTCCAGACCAACATGTAGTTCTGCATCCAAGGTCTCAAGTTCCAGCTTTCATCCCCTCACGGCTGCCTCTCCAGATCGACGGTTGCCTCTAAGACACCCCTCTGGACTTTAGTCTTACTCTCATCTTGGCTATGTTATCAGCTCTTGATACATTGAGATTTCTCCCCTCTCCCCGTATTTTGTGTAGCACTTTTATTCAGTGACTTCCTCAGGAAGGTTGATATGAATTGCCTAGTCCTCCATCACCAGAAGTGCGTTTTCTCAGAGTCCACACAGTGGTTTTGTTTTGTTTTGTTGTACTTTTAAATATTTTATTTATTTATTTTATTGACATACATACAATTGACATACAACAGTATATCAGTTTCAGAGGTACAACATAATGATTCAATATTTGCATATTTTGCAAAATGATCACCACAATAAGTCTAATTAACATCCATCACCATGCACAGTTACACTTTTTTTTCCCTGTGATGAGAACTTTTAAGATTTACTCTCTCAGCAGCTTTCAGATATACAATACAGTATTATTAACTATAGCACACAGTGTTTTTAAATGCATGTCTTATCGCCACCTAGATGAGCCTTTTGACTCTAAAGAATGACTTCTACTAATTTTATATACTTCTTGATACCTCATAAAGCGCTCTGAACAGTCAGTAAATTATTAAATGAACTTGAATTTGCTTTTGACTCTATTTGATACTGTTCAACACATGTTAAATATCAATAGATGAATATCTATCTAAATCAGGTATCTTCTGCCTAATACATATACTGATTGGTGTACTTTGGCAAAGGATGTTTTTCACAGAAATATAGGGAGAAACACGTTCGTAAGTGCAAGATAATAAGATCACTGTCAACTTTGGAAATTTAACCTTAATAAGACACTTAGAATTTGTCAAATTTAGGATTTCTTAGGTTGAGTCCATCTGGATACTTACAAAGGAGAGAGGAGGCGGTGTTTATAAATTGAAACAGAATGCTGATTAAATATAGAGAAAGCATTTCCACTGGCTTCCTTATCTGAAGGTTTTTATGTTACTAACCGGGATGAAAGGGCATTCCCCCACCCCTTAGCTGGTCATGAAGTGTCTATTCCAGTGTTACCACTTCCTGTGCATAATCAGTCAATACTGGTAAAATTCCATTCAACTGGTTTCTGTTCAGTAAAGTTACTTATACTACGCAAATGATACCTTACACTAAGATTGCTTTGCCCACATGATTGCATAAATTATTGAGTTCAGAATATTTTCTAATTCATACTGTAATTTTCTTTTGGACCCGAGGGTAATTTAGAAGTATGTTTCTTAATTTCCAATCATATAAGATTTTCTAATTATCTTCTTGCTCTTGATTTCTAGCGTAATCTCATTTGATCAGAGGATAGACTCTGTGTGATTTCAGTCCTTAGAAATTTGTGAAGTTTTCTTTATATGTTTTGTTTATGTGTTAAAATTATTTGCATTTAATATTCTATACACATCCATTAGTTTGCTAGTCGTATTATTATTGTCCAGTGTTTCTGCATTCTTACTAATTACTTTGTTTTGTCAGTGCTGAAACGTGTGATAAAACCTACTTTGATTCTGAACTTGTCTACTTCTTGTTGTACCTTCCATTTTTGCTTCAAATATTTTGAGAATTTATTAGGCTTATTCAAGTTAGAACTGTTATATCTTCCTAGTGTTTGTGAGTCATTTATCACTATGAAATGTCTTTATATTGCTTTTTGCCTTAAAGTCAGCTTTGCATGAATAAAAAAGTTAAAAGCAGCTTTTCTTTTGGCCAGGGCTTGCATGGTCTATCCTTTTCCCCCCTTTAACTTTCAACCTTTCCATATCCTTATGTTTCAAGTTTGTCCCTCATAAATAGCATATAGTTAGTTTTGTTGTTTATCCCTTCTGACCATCTTTGTCTTTCAAATAAATCATTTAGTTCATTTATTCTTTTTTTTTAATAAGTTTATTTTATTTATTCTTGGCTGCATTGGGTCTTCGTTGCCGTGTGCAGGCTTTCTCTAGTTGCGGCGAGCGGGGGCTACTCTTTGTTGTGGTGCACGGGCTTCTCATTGTGGTGGCTTCCCTTGTTGCGGAGCACGGACTCTAGGCGTGCGGGCTTCAGTTGTTGGGGCTCACAGGCTCTAGAGTGCAGGCTCAGTAGTTGTGGCGCATGGGCTTAGTTGCTCCGCGCATGTGGAATTTTCCTAGACCAGGGCTTGAACCCGTGTCCCCTGCGTTGGCAGGCGGATTCTCAACCACTGTGCCACCAGGGAAGCCCAGTTCATTTACTCTTAACGTAGCTATCGTATGTTGTATTTAAATCAACCATCTCATTAGTGCTTTCTGTTTGTCTCTTGTATATTTCTTTTTCTTTGCTTCCTAACCTTTTTGATTGATTACTGTGGGCAAAAGGTAAACAAAATTCTCTTCCTCCTGCTTGATAACCTCGGTTAAATTTCTAGCTCTGTTCCCCTGTTAACCTAGTATGATGTATATCAACTATATTACTAGGCAACATCACTTAAGATAAAAATTACCCCTATTTGTAAATTGCACCTGTACTGGGAGAGTGATAATTGTCTGGTGGGGATGACATACTTTTGGCTTCCTGAGTGTGATGACTCATGTATTAGGCATGTCCCTTTCAAGGACCCTGGAAGCTATGTCATTAGAGTTGTTACAAGAGATATTGAATCCTATGTGGCATGAGGCTTTTAAACCAAGGGCACTTCCCACATCTGTCTGATACGGACGTCATCTTACTGTGCCCAAGCTATTACCTGACTGCGGTGTGGGCTGCTGCACGACCTTGACATGCCTGCTGGCAAACCATGTTCTTGTCCTCCTGGGTAGACTCCTGCCAAGTGCGGGCTGTAAGTCTTTTGAGTCAGAATGTTCAGTTAAACCTAGGGAGGCATCCTTTCCTTGCACTGCCGCCCCACCACACACACTACAACTCAGTATTGCAATGATTTTTTATTACTACATTTATTCACGTTATTATTTTGGAAGATTTACATTATAATATTGTTTTGGTGGTTACTCAAGTTATTACAGTGTCATTCTGGATTATAGAAATCTAATCTTATTTGGTGCTTTTATCTCCTTCCTGGACAATGCAAGGTCCATAAAACATCTTAATTCCATTTGTCTTCCTCCCAGCTTATGCGCTCTTTTGGTCATGTACTTATAAATATTTATTTTATGTATATATATATATATATATATATATATATATATAGCCAGTAAGATGACAACATCATCATCATTATTATTACTACTAGGAATAGTCAATACCTGTTTAGATTTACTCATTTATTACTTCTTTTTTCCTCTTTCTATATCCCCGAGCTTCCTCTTGGACCATTCTTCTTCTGCCTGAACTTCATCCTGTTATACCTGAGGCCTGATGTTGACAAATTCTGGAAATATTTTATGCCGTTTCCCTTCTTGAAGAACGTTTTTGCTGGGTGTGAAATTCTGCGTTGGCAGTTCTTTAAGCATTTCACAGACAGTACTCATCTGTCTTCTGGATTCCATATTTTCTTTTGAGAAGTCAGCTGTCAGTCTATTTGTTGCTCCTTTAGGTAGTCAGCCTTTTTTCTTCTGGCTGCCCTTCTTTGGTTTTCAGAAGTTTAACTCATGTACCTAGGTGTACATTTTTCTTTTTAAATCTTGCTTGCAGTTTGTAGGACTTCTTCAGTTTGTTACAGCTTAATTGTTTTTCATCAGTTTTACAAAGCTCTTGGCTATTAGCTCTTCAAATATTGCTTCTGCCCCTTCTGTCTCCTCCCTTTGGGACTCTAGTTACTTAGACCACTTTACAGTGTCTTGTGTGCCTCTTAACCTCTCTTCTTTATTTGCCATCTCCATGATCCATTCTGGGAAAATTCTTCTCACCTTCCTTCTAGTTCACTAATTTTTTTCTTCACCAATTTCTAATCTACTCTTCCGCTGATCCACTGAGTTCTTAATTTCCATTATTGTATTTTTAAGTCCTAGGTTTTCCACTTGGTTTGGTTCTTTTTTGTAGTTTCTGGTTCTCTAAAAAAATTCTCAATATTGTCTTTTGTCATCTTGAACATGCTAAGCATAGTTGTTTTAATATTTCTATCTGATAACTCCAATATCTGGACCCTTACAGATCTTTTTATTTTGTATGTTGTTTTGCTATTTCTAATTCATGTTATCTTGGCTCCTTATATATCTGGTTAACTTTTATTTTGTTCCAAACATTATATTTGCAAAACTGTTTATAGATATAATTGGAGGCCCAAGTTTATGTAATCTTTCTCTAGGGAAGATTTATCTTTGCTCCTTTTAGGCACGTAAAAGCACTGATATTCCAAAGAAGCTATTCCAGTTTGAAGGACTGAAATGATTCAAAGCTGAAAGGAACACTTAGTATGTACCAGGGCTGTGCCAATTATTTTACATCCTTCAACAATGCATTTTTACCACAGCTTCTGCCTCTTTCTATTAAATTACTCCTTCTGTTACTTTTAATCATGTTTCTGTAAATACACAAAAACTTGATGTTTACATGTCTCAATTGTTTACACCCTAGTTTTACCCCCTTTCTACTATTCCTGATGAGTCCTAAAATATAATAATACAAAATTTTAACTGGATGCCTGAGAACTTCCAGGCATTTAATTGAAGGGAAATTTAAGTTGAAGGGAAAGGAAGAATTTTTTTATAAGTCTATGCCTGAGAAATGAGAGTCACAGAGCTTAATTTGACACAGCTAACACTAATGACATGTCAATGTCTTTAGTCTGGGATTTTTCTCCAGTGAAACTTATCATTTGCCGATTCATTTCTTCAGGAACCATATTATGTACGTTGCATCAAACCCAACGACAAGAAGTCCCCACAGATCTTTGACGATGAACGCTGCCGGCATCAAGTAGAGTATCTTGGACTCCTGGAAAATGTGAGGGTGCGTCGGGCAGGGTTCGCCTTCCGCCAGACCTATGAGAAGTTTCTTCACAGGTGAGAATAGACTAAACAAGGAAACCTGCTAGCACACTGAGAATTATGGAGTCCTCTCCATGTTTAACCGTGCATCAGCTCCTGTCAGACAATCTAAATGTTTGTTGAATGAACAGAAGACATGAGGAAACTGCAACTGTGAAAGACCTTCCCAGAATCGGCAGGAGTCCCCTCGAGTCTGTGGTTTACGGACCATGGGGAAAAATTTTATTCTTCATGGAGAAAATGGGGGCATGTAGTATAGGAGAATAAACAAGGATTTGGAGTCACAGCTGGGTTGGAATCCTGGCTATGCTACTCATTTGCTGCACGACCTTGAGCTAGAAATTTAGCTTCTTTGACTCTCCTTCTGCATCTATAAAATGAGTATAGTAACACTACCTCATAAGCCTTTTGTTGTGAGGATTAAATTAACCAAAGTAAAAAGCCTACGTGCCTGGCACATAATAGATGTTCAATTAATGCTGCTTAGCATTACCAATATTGCTAACTATAATAATAACAAAATATTAAGTAGTTAATCATGGAGGCCCTAAAATTAGTCTACCTGATTGAATCCTGGCTTTGCCATTTCTTAGCTTTTTGACCTTAGGCAAATCATATAACCTTTCCATGCCTCAGGTTCCTATGTATAAAATGGGGGAAATTAATTAATTTTTTTAATGGGAATAATAATGGTAACTACCTGGTAGGGCTGCTGGGGGATGAAGTAATATATGTGAAGTACTTAGAATGGTACCTGGCATATAGTAATCACTCAATAGGTGTAAGGTATCATTGCTATTGTTATTTATTGTTACTAACAATAATGATAGTTGACACCTGGTATCATAAAAATAGTGTTTTAAATTCCATCTATTCATCTATTTTAAAATATTTATTGAGCATTTCCTATGTTGTAGATTCCACAAAATATGAATAAACAAATACATAAAATATTGATCGGTGAGAAGAGTCTCTAAGGAGAAAATAATGGCAGGAAGGGGTCAGCCATACAAAGGTCAAAGAAAAGAGCAGGTGGAGCAGAGGAAACAGCAGAGAAAAGTCTCTCTTGCAATAATAGGTGGTGTTTTAGGTACCAAACATCATCCAGTGTGGTTGGAGGATGCTGAGTGACAGGGCAGTGGTGTAGCATGAGATCAGAGATGGACATAGGCCAGATCATTTTGAATGTTGTAATCCAGACTAAACAGTTCAGATTTTGGCTAAGTGTGGTAGAAAACCACTGGTGGATTTTATGCAGGGAACAACCCAATCTTATGGATGTCTTAAGATATCACTTTGGCTGCTGTGTGAATAGGAAGCAAGGAGACATTTAGAGCTGCTATTGCAGGAATCCAGGAGAGGCAGCTCAACGAGAGTGCCTTGAACAAGGAATTATTGTAGATCCAAGAGTAGTGGACTGATTCAGGGTATGTTTTGTGGAAAGGTGGACTAGACTTGCTCGTGGATTGGCGTGATGAGAGAGTAGTAGAGAGAGATGAAGGGTAACAAGTAGATTCTGGCTGGAGCATCTGGGTAAGCATGGTACCATTTGCTGAGGTGAGAAAGATGGGGGAAGAGAAGCTTGAGGAGGAGGACATGAAACTGGGGCAAAGATGGAATCAGGGTTGTCTCCTGACTGTGTTAGGTTTGAAATGGCTACTAAATGTCTAGGTAGAAATACTAAGTAAGTTCTTAGCCATACAAATCTGGAGTTCTGGGAAGAGTCCAGGCTGGAAATAGAAATTTTGGAGTTATTGGTATACAGATTGTATGTAAAGTCTTGGAACTGGATAGAAAGGAGGAGGAGGCCCATGCCAACATTTAGCTTTGTGGTCTGACATGAAAGAACGAGCAAAGAGAGAGAAGAAGCAACCAAGAAGCTAGAAGAAATATCAGAAGAGGGTTATGTCACAGAAGCCAAGAGAAGATGGCATTTCAAGAAGAAGAGTACAGTTATCATATTAAATGTTGCTGTGCCATCAAGCAAGATAAAAGCAGGAGCTTAACCATTAGACTAGGCAACATAGAGGTCAAAGGAGAAAAGGCTGGACAGAGCCCCATTTGAGCAGGATGGGGAAGTGAAGTGAGAAGTTGGATGTCTCTGGACAACTCAAGAATGTGTGCTACGAATGAGGGCAGAGAAAACTAGAAGCAGCAGCCAGAGTGGAATGTGAGGTCAAGGAGATACTAGAAAATGTTTGTATGCAGGTGGGGATGATTCAGAACAGAGGGAGAAACCAGCGACACAGGAGGGAGGGAGATAATTGTAATAATAACATCCTTGAGAAGGCAAGGAAGGAAATCCCAAGCACAAGTGGAAGGTTTGTCAGCTTTAGATGGGAGCAGGGATGCTTCACCCTTAGCAACAGGGTGAGAGGCAGAGAATATGAATACAGATGCAGGAAACCTCGAAGCTTGGCTGATGGCAAAGATGAAGATGTTCCTATCTGATTGCTTCCGTTTCCTCGATAAAGTATGAGGCAAGGTCATGAGCTGAGAGTGAAGATTAGGAGATGTGGTGTAGGAGGTTGGAGGGGAATGAAAATACTCATTTTGGAGAGCGGGAACGCATAGGTGTGTTAGTAGTTTTGCTGCTCGGAAGATCCGAGCGCCCACTTGACATTTGAGGTTATAAGGGTACAGTGACACCACCGAGCACTGTCTGTTGTTCTCCACCAGTGTTCAGCTACTTGTGTGAAGAAGTGAAAGGGGGGCTTCCCTGGTGGCGCAGTGGTTGAGAGTCCGCCTGCCGACGCAGGGGACGCGGGTTCGTGCCCCGGTCCGGGAGGATCCCACATGCCGCGGAGCGGCCGGGCCCGTGAGCCATGGCCGCTGAGCCTGCGCGTCCGGAGCCCGTGCTCCGCAACGGGAGGGGCCACCACGGTGAGAGGCCCGCGTACCGCAAGAAAAAAAAAAAAAAAGAAGAAGAAGAAGTGAAAGGGATTTACACTAATTGGAGACTCTTGGAATGAATAAAACTTTATAGCAGAATAGCCTAGAAAATTGAAACAGTTTTATACTGATCAAAAGGTTATGTATGCTCAAAACTGATCATTTTCCTTATTGAAATCATACTGTTCTTGAAACTTGGTTTTTTTTAAATTGAGGCTGTAGAGTAGGAGTGTTGTCATGAGTAGAGATGTGTTCATTCTGAGTCTTGACTTCAAACAGTGTCAAATTATATTAATAGGAAGATTGTTAGTCCCTTGTCATTACTCAGAATTCTAGCAATTACTCAATTGCAGTATTGATTTTTGTGTTGTCACGTATATAAGATCAGCAGAAGTTGAATATTAGAATGAGCAGGGTGGGAATGGGTAACTATAGGATGGGGCTGAACTAAAAGTATATTTACCTAAAATATATATTTATCTAACTAAAAATATATGATCATGACACCATGATAATAGAAGCCATGGAAAGAAGTTGAAATAAGAGAATAAGCAAGCTCGACCTGGAGGGGACAAGGACTTTGCAAGTGCGTGTCCTCACTCGTAATCTCTCTATGCACCTATTTTACTTTCAACTCAGGATGTTTGGTGTGTTTTTTGGCATGAAAGACATGCTATAAGGATTGGATTCTGTTTTCTAATGCTCATGTAAAAATAGAAAAGATTAAAAAGAACCTGTGAATTTCAAATATGATGGTCTTAGGAGTACAAGCTTAAATCTCCCGTTCCCACTCCAGAACATCCCCCAATAATATGAAATACGTGTATTTAAAGCCACGTTAATGCATAGCCGCACTATGGAATCAAAAGGGGGATTCTCAGTGAACCTTAAAGATGTGAATCACTCCTAAATACAGTATGAAGCGGACATGAAGGCCCAGGAGTAAGCCGAGGTCACAGTTTGAAGGAAAGACTGCCTTGTGAGGCTTGAGCTGCCATTCAGGAAGCATCTCAGCCACTGTGCTGGAGTTTACCCAGCTGCCGCACCGGGAGGTTAATGGCCAGTGCAAGTAACCACCTCAGCAACTGTAACGGAGACATCATAGGTATATTGGCCAAGATAGCCGCCTAACAAGAGGCCAACAAAGGCCAAGATGTACACGTACGTAGAAGGACTCTGGGAAAGGAGACGAGATAACAGTTAAACATCTGAGAAAGGCCAGACCAATGAAAAGGAGACAATAAGCTCAACAAATAAAAAACCTCACCCCCAAGGGACCAGAGCAAGGAGTGAAAGACATTAGAATAAACCTATTTCCTATTCTCCAAGAGATAAAGGAGAGAATTATGGTCCTAAAATAGGAGTACAAAGTTAGAAACAAGAACAGGTAGTTATTAAAAAGAACTGATTAGAGATTTAGAAAATGAAAACCAGATCAAGCACAATGAAAGAGTGAATTGTCCACCAGGAGAAGGAGTCGGCAATTTGTAGTGTCATCATACAGTGGTTACTCATCAGGATTGAAGAGAATGAGTGGCCAATACAGCAACAACGTGGATGAGTAAAACATTATGCTGAAAAGGAGTCGCCAAAGAGTAATTTCTTGATGCTGCCATTTACACGAAGTTTAAGAACAGATAGAAATCAGAGCAGTGCTTTGCTCTGGGTTGGGGGTTGACTGGAAAGGGGGAAGGGCAATGGGGGAACTCTTTGAGATTATGGAGATGATCTGTATCTTGATTGGCATGTCAGTTCCATGGGTGTACACACTTTTCAAACTTACTGATTCGTGTACTTAAATGTGTGCATTTTACTATACATAAAGTTTACCACAATTAGAAAAATTTTTTTCTTGACTAAACTTCCTTTAAACAACTTAGTGAGCTAGAAGATCAAGCTGAAGACTTCATCCAGACCTCATCACAAAGAAAAAGAGATGGGAAGTACTAAAGAAAGGTCAAGCTGCGTATAAGGTTGATCCAGGAGAGCCAGAAGCCATCTAACTGGAGCTCCAGAAGGAAAGAAGAGTCTAGGGGTCAGAATGAAAGAATACACTGAGTGTAAAACATATGAAGTTTTTTAATGAAACTTAAGTACATTATGTTCACTTTCAGAATGTTAGACATAAATAAAAATGCTTAGAGCTCCCAAGAAGAAAAGCAAACTACCCATGAGGGAATGAGACTCACACTGACATCAGACTTCTCATTAGCAACAGTCAGTGTAAACAGGCAAAGGAGCAGTATCTTCACAGTGAAGGGGAATGAAGTTTATGCTTAGAATTTTATTCCATGCCAAGTTATCATTCAAGAGTGTGGGCAAAATAAAAACGTTTTCTGACATATATAGGCTCAGAAAGTTTACTATTCTGAGAGGGTCATAGACCCTCTGAAAAATCTCTAGAGGGTATACTTTAGCAAAAGGGAGAATAAATGCAGGAGGAAAATATGGAATGCAAAAAAGCAACATCGAACAAATAAGTAGGTAAAACTTTTTGTGAAATCTGAACAAGTATTGACTGTAAGGAGGAAAAAGAAGTCTGTAGTCATCATTTGCAACAAAAATTAAAATAGTGGTGAGAAATATAGAGAAGTAAAGACTTTTGTACTCCTTATGGGAAGAATATAGATGTTAATTAACTAGACAGGAAAAAGGGTGTATTTTTACATAAATAAATTTTTACATATTTAATTTTTCAGAACGCTAATAATAATAGCGCTGACATTGTGAAGTGCTCACACCATATGTACCCGGCACTGTTTTAAACAGTCCGCGTGTAGTCTGTCCCTAAAGCCGACAGCCAGATGAGGAGAGTGTGTTACCGCCATTTTATGCAGATGAGGAAACCGAGACACACGAAGGGTGAGGAACTTGCCTCAGGTCCCGGAGCCAAGTAGTGGCGTAGCCGTGTCTGAACTCAGGCAGGTGGCCCCTGAACCTATCGTCCTTAACGGCGCACCGCCTCACAACCGAATGTGCGGCTTTATCAGAGGAAGGAACAAAATGGCATAAAGAAAACTCAGTCTGCCTGAGAGAAAATAGGGTAAAAAGCAACAAAGAGAAAGCACAATTAATAGAAAACATTAAATGAGAAGTTGAGAAAATTGAAACATATTAATAATCACAATAAAAGTGTCAGACTTTGCCCTTTAAAAGACAGCACTGTGGAAAGACTGAAGTCTCTCCAGTTGATGACTATCTAAGTCGAGATTAGGTCCTCTCTACTAGAGTCATCTAGGAAGAGCGCTGGATGAGATGGTGGGATGTGCATCTGGGAAGATGGCCTGTCCCTCCTCTGCAGGCTGTGTTTATCTGCCACTTTACGTAAAATGAGTTTGTTCACATTGAAAAACTGACATTTTATTTTAATGTCATACTGATTGAACTAATTAACAGTGGGACATGGGGTAGGATGGAAGGTGTGTAGGACATTGGATGAATCTTTTCAGTCCTGGTGGGAGAAAAAGTAATATTTTCTGCAATGAGTTTGTGCTTTTAGATTCTGCAGATTTTTTGTAAGCTAGCTTTGAACCTAAATTTCTACTTGTCACTTTCATTTTCATTCTTTTATTGAAAAAGAGAGAGAAGGATTTTAAATGTACTGATAACCTTAAAAGCTGCTGAAGTCTTTCAGGGAGGTAAAACTGGTTGTCAGAAAGCAGCTGAATTTAGCTTTTTAATTTGCAAGTTCAGGGTGCTGGTTTGCTGAAGAACTTGGGGCATGCCCTTGACCGTCAGGAAGAAAGGAAGGGCGCCGTTACCCTGATGTGTTAGCTGAGCAGTGTGGCAGTAGGATTGCTTCTAGTTTCTGCAACACGCCTAAAACTTTAAACAAATGCCATTACTCCCTGTTGACTCTTATTCTATCGATAGTTCTATAATGAATTTGGAAGTTTTTAGATTTTATTTCCTTTTTTCACGTGACGTCACTTAATATTACCTTTCTCTTCATATTAGAACTCTTTGGTTGCTGTTTCTGTCTCTATCTGGCAAGTGACTAGACATTTAAATGTATTTTCTTCCATTCTTTCATTCAGTGGATATCTCGTTCCTCATCGTATGGTGGACAACACGATAGGCACATGGCGTATAGCGGGGAACAAAACAAAATCCCTGCCTTCGTGGTACCCATAGACTGACATTCAACAGACAAACACACAAATCAATATGATTACAAACTGTGATGAATGGTGTGAGGAAAAGAAACCCATCTGGCTGCCCTAGAGAGGAATAATGGGGGTGAGGGTTGATGGTTGATGAAGGAGAATCAAAAACAGACTATGAGGAGTCTCAGCCTTTCAAAGAGTAGATTAAAAAGCATTCCAGGCAATGGGAACAGCATATGCAAAGTCTCCAAAGCAAGAAAGAGGCGGCAACCGCATTACAGGACCCTAAAGAAGGCCAAGGCGACTGGAGTAGAATAACGAAAGCAGGCGTAAAAGATAAAGATGAGGTGAGGCTCTTTGGAATACTACTCTGGCTGCTAAATATGCAGAATGGGTTGAAGAGGAAATGGAAAACAAGTTAGGAGTCTACTGTAGTAAACTTGATGGTGGCGTATATTAGGATTGTAGCAGTAAAGATGAGAATAGTTGAATTTTAAATATATTTTGGAGGTGGAGTCAATAGACCTGATGATGGATTAGAAGGAATGATAGAGAAGAGAAGGGATCAAATATGACTCCCAGGATTCTGGCTTTAGTAACTGAGGACATTGAGGTAGGAAGGACTGAAAGAGGAATTTAAGATACCTTTAGGTCTATATAGGCATTGGATATGTGAGTCTGAAGCTCAGAACTGAGAAGTGGGCTTGGGATAGTAAATGCATGAGTTGAAAAACAAAGTGGATGGAATAGATGAAGCGATGTGGGAGGTTGTACATAGAGAGAAGGGGGCCTGATATGAGCTCTGGGACACTCCAACATTTGGGGGTCCAGGAATGAGGAGTTGCCAGAAAATGAGATTGAAAAGAGATATCCAGAGAGACAGAAGGAAGCTAGGGAGAGTGTGCTGTTGTGGAAGCTAAGATGGAAATCAGGAAAAGAGAGAGACATCAAGAAGAAGGGATCAGATGCCCCTTAGATACATAGCGTCTTAACCAGAAATGTGTAAAGCCCTAGGAGGAGAACATGAAGACTCCTGAAAGGCACGAAAGTAGACTTGAACTAATGGAATGATACCCCTTGTTCTTGGATAGGACAACTCAACGTCAAAGCTAAATTTAATGAATTTAACATGGGAACCCAATAAAAATACCAGAAAGGATTCTTTTGTTTTGTGATTGTTTTTCCCTGGAACTATGCAAATTGACTCTAAAGTTCATATAGAAAAATGAATACATAGGAATATCGAGAAATACCTTTAAAAAGGAAAAGAAGGAGAAAAGACCACCAGATATTAAAATATACTTATAACATCTATAATTAGACATTTGCAATACTGATGGGGCCGAGGGACAGACAAAGCAATGAAACAGACCAGACAGCCCAGAAATGAACCGAAGCACATATGAAAGTTTAGCATATGATAAAATGGCATATTAAATCGGAGGGAGAAAGACAGACGTGTTAGTAAATAACATCGGAAATAGCCTTTTGTCAAAAGTTGGATCCGCTAGTGGGAAGCAGCCGCATGGCACAGGGATATTACCTTGGTGCTTTGTGACAGCCTGGAGGGGTGGGATAGGGAGAGTGGGAGGGAGGGAGACGCAAGAGGGAAGACATATGGGAACATATGTATATGTATAACCGATTCACTTTGTTATAAAGCAGAAACTAACACACCATTGTAAAGCAATTATACCCCAATAAAAAATTTTAAAAAAAAGTTGGATCCGTATCGAAATAAACTCCAAAGGGACCAGAGATCTAAACGTAAAATGTGAAAACATATAAGTACTGGAAGAACCCGTAGGTGAATTACTCTGTAACCTGAATGTGAGGAAAGCCTTTCTCGCTATGTCTTAAGGTTAAGATGCAGTATGTGAAAAACATTACTAAATTTGACTACATGGATTAAACAACTTTGCACCAAGGGTGGAGGAGAAGTACTGCAGTAGGCAGCCTTCTAAGCTGGTCCCAGTGATCCCCACCTACTGGTATTCATGCCTGTGTAATCCCCTTCCTGTGAGTGTGGGCTGGCCCTAGTGAATTGCTTCTAGCCAAATGGAATGTGTCAAAAGTGATGGGATGTCGCTCGTGAGATTAGGCTACAAAAGGCTGAGACTCTGTGACTACTGTCTTACTCACGGTCACCCTCACACTAACCTATGAGAGGGCCGCATACGGAGGAACTGTTGGCTGCTTGTATGTAGAATTGCAAATGATCTGTGTATTGACCTTATGTGCAGAACTGTGCTTAGTTTTCTTTTAGCGATGATACTTTATCTGAAGATCTGCTTGATGTCCTTTGAAGCGAGTCATATTGTTCATAAGTGATGTTTTGTTCCTTCCCCAGTCATTTACCCGTTCAAAAACCCATGACAGAGGCATCCTTTTCTTGTTTCTGTTTGTAAAGACAATGCTTCCAAGGTTGCCACATTACAAATAATATTTGCTGCAAGTTTTTGGCAAATAGCTTTTATTAAATTAAGGAATATCCTTCTAATCCTTGTTTAGTGAGTGTTGTATTTTATTGAAGGAGTGTTGTATTTTATTGAAGCCTTTTTCTATGACTCTTATCAGGCTAATGAAACTCATCCCTATTCCTAGTTTGCTAAGAAGTTTTTTTTTTCTTTCTTTCTATGAAGCATCTTGAATTTTATTGGATAGCTTTTCTGCATCTATTGATACCACATGGTTTTTCTCCCTTAACCCGTGCCCTGTTCTTTTTTTCATCCAGGTACAAAATGATCTCTGAATTCACCTGGCCCAACCATGACCTCCCTTCAGACAAAGAGGCTGTCAAGAAACTGATTAAACATTGTGGCTTTCAGGATGATGTAGCTTATGGGAAGACCAAAATTTTCATTCGAACACCCCAAACACTGTTTACCTTGGAAGAGCTCCGTGCCCAGATGCTCGTAAGGATTGTCCTCTTTCTACAAAAGGTAATTTAATATTTTACATATAAGGATAAGGCCTTACTTTTATGTTCTTAAAGATGAGTTGAATGTTTTCTTTGATTCAAGAAATGTTCACGCTGGTGTATTTTTTTGCATCTATGCATATCTTAAGAGTGTTTTCTGTTGCCTCCACACATGGAAAACTTACTGGGCTGTGTGAACTCAAAATTATTTTATCCTCAAAGCTCTGAAGCTATTTTGTCTTCTGGTATTTAGAAACAGAGAGATGTCTGAAGCAGTCTGGTTTTTGTCTCTTGCAGTTAACTGAGTTGTTTCCCTCAGCTTAACTGCATAAAGCACTTTTTCTATCTTATAATTTACAAGCTTGGCCAGCCTGTGTGAGACCACCTCCCTCACCCATCACGACCCACCGCCAGCACTTGCCAAGGTGTGCGGTGCTGACTCAGCGGTCCTCGTAAGACCATGGTACCTGTCATCACTGATCTGTGCAGGGCCCCTTCTCATTTCATTCAGTCACTCAGGTATTTCTTTTTATCCCTCTTACCCATTTCCATACCTTCTGATTGAACCATTTTAATGTAAAAAAATTATATATGCATATAAAAAGAAATCGTGTTCCTCTAGGAGAACGTCCTTGGGATATCCATCAGGGGAAAGGTGGCTGGGTCATTGGGTATACGTAGACCTAATTGGCGTAAGTAGTGCCAGGCTCCTCTCCAAAATGTCTGCCGGTTTGCACATCACCAGTTTGTATGTAGAGGTTACTGTGTGCCCACATCCTTAGCAGTATCATCCAGGTACCTAAATTTTGCCAGACTAGTAAGTATAATGATATCTCATTGTTGTTCTACTTCCTATTTCTCTGATTACCATTGAATTTGAGCATCTCATTAAATGCTTGTTTGCTTTTTGGGGTTTCCTGTAAACTGCCTGTTCATATCTTTTATCCATTTTTCTACTGTAATTGGTATCATTTTCTTGTTGATTAGCAGGAATTCCTTGACTATTTTAGACATTAATCTCTATTCACTTTAGATATCATACATATATTCTCCTGTTCTGTCGGCATTCTAATGAACTTTCTAATGTGCTTTGTTGAAGAGAATCCTTAATTTTGACATAATCAAATTCTTGGATTCTTTTTTTTTTTGGCCTTATATTTTGTGCCTTGGAATTTTATTTAAGAGGGCTTTCCTTGTATCTAGGTCACAAAGGTACTATCCTATGTTTTCTTCTATGAACTATATAGTTTTACCTTTCACATTTACGTCTTTAATCCATTCAGAATCCATCTATGTATGTGGTTCTCTCTAGGAAACCAATTTCACTTTCTTCTATATGGTGAGCAAGTTTTCTCAATACCATCTAAATACTAAATAATCTGTTGTTTCCCTATTGATTTGTGGTGCCACTTTTATTATGTATGAAGTTTATATATATACACATACATATATATGTATTCTGTTTCTGAGTGCTCTATTCTGTTCCATTTCTGTATCTGCCTCTTTTCATACCACTGCCACGTAGTTTTCATTGTAGTGTGTTTTAGTATATGGTAGGATAAGTCCATCTTCTCTACTCTTCTTTATTGAGGTTGATTATTCTATACATAGACCTTTATTCTGTAATATAAATTTTAATCTGTGTTTATTGAGTTCTTTAAATTCGAGAATACTTTTTATTAGGATTGCATTGAATATATAGGTTAATTTTAAAGGATTAACATTTTTATAATATCAAAACATCTTAAGAGTATTGAATAAGCTTATTTAAATCATTTTATTGACTTTTAGACTTAGGTCTTATGAACTCATAGTTAATTCCTAGATATTTTATTGTTTTTGTAGCTGCTGTGCTTTTATTATTGTGTTTTTATTATATTTTCTATGTGTCAATGTTGGTATAGAGAAGTAATATTGGCTTATGTTGGTTTAACTGTATCCAGAATGAAACGTTTCTTGATTCACATTTGTTGATTCTGTTAGTTTTTCTGGGTAAAAGATTATATCATGTGCAGATTATAAAAGTTCCCTTCCAATTGCCAAGATGTTTCTGAGTGTTGGTCTCGTTCATTTATTTTTCCTAGAACTCAGGAAAACTTTTGGAGTGGAATACTAAATTCTGTTTCATCTTAGAACAGTTTCCTTCTATTAATTGTTTTTTTTTAATACTGCTTTTACTCCGTTCTGTTTTCTTTCTCAAGACAGCTTGTAAATTTGCAAGGTGAATCTCTGTTTTTTGTCTGCTGTAGTGAGTTATTTTCATGCGTCTGTTCTACTGTATATTCAAATCCTTACTTTTGATCTTCCCTACTTACCAGTGGGAGTTTTTGTTGTTGCAGATCTGATACTTTGCCTTTCTTCTTCATACCTATCCAAGACATTGACCAGACTCAGGGCTTGGCCTCTCAGTTTGGTTGGGACAGTCCTGGTTTCTGACTGTGGTCTGTTGTAAATATTAGTAGGAAACCTTTCACTCTCAAAGTGTCCCAGCATGGGTAACAAATGATACAATAGTCACCCTACCGTGAACTCACTTTCTTTCCACTTGTTGGCTGGTAGAATCCTCTTCTTAAATCTACATCGGCATTTTGTTTACTTCTTTCACAGTTGTCAGTGTCCCACAGATTTTCACCTATTGCAGCTCTGTCAGCCAAAGATGGGGCCCACCCTGTCCCTCCCCACCCCAGGGCCCAGCTCTTACAGAAAAGGTTGAATTCCAGATATACACGCCTACTAGGACTCGTCCTTTCTCAGTCCTCTCTACAGCACCTCTGCTTGCTTTCTGGTGAGAAATTACAATTTCTACCTAGAAAAGAGAGATTCTAAAAGACAAGGGATGGCTGCTTCAAAAACTATCACCTGCGCCCTGGAGGGAAAGCTGTCCAGTCTTCTCTGTGGTGTAGATCTTGCGTTTCTTAACCATAAGGCAGTGAGTAGGGTATGACCTCCCTCTAAATTCTCAGGCAGACCATCCTAGAGCACGATATACGCGATCTACTCATTATGTTCTTCGAACCAACTCCACAGGCCATAAAATTAGTGAGAATTTCAGTTTCTGGGAAGAGGTCATCAGTCACCTAACTTTCCATGTGACGTGTTTTCAATTTTTCTGTTTCCTTATGGGAATGTAGTGTGAAGCTGTAGAGGCAGCATCAGGAGATGCTAATTTAAACAAGACTCCCCAACAATTGATTTTTTAAATTTCCTTTTTAAATAAAAATTAGCTTTGTCTTTTTTATTATATAATTAAAGTGCACTCATTGTAAAAACAGATTCAAACCATAATGAAAAGTATAAGGAAATCCATGGGAAACCACCTAAAATCCCACCATCCAAAGGTAACACACCAAGTGTGTGAATTTTTTCCATTCTTATCAGTGAGAAATGCTACCTCGTTTCTACTATTTCATTTTTTATTTTCATGACTACTAGCAAGGGTGTGTTTATTGGATTGCTTCCTCTGTTACTCATTTTTATCAGTGGCCCATTTTTCTGGGATTGTTTGCCTTTTTCTTAGGAATTTCTGGGAGCTATTATCTTTATGTGTTACAGCTATTTTCCCCAAGCCGTCATTTGTCATTTGATTCTGTTCATGGTATACTCTTTGATGTGAAATTTTTTCACTGAATGTAATGAAATATGTCCTTTTCTTTATAGTTTTTGAGTTTCTTCCAGAAAAAAATTATAGATCTGGGATTTCGTTTTGTACATGGTGTGATGTAAGGGTCCAACTCTATTTTGTTCCAGGTATTCAATTCCATTTATTTAAAAAATTCCTCTCTTTTTTCCAATTTAAATTGAAATTCCACCTTTGTCTAATATCAAATGCCCATATATGCTTGAATCTATTTCAGGACTCACTATTTTCTTCCATGGTCCGTTCCTGTGCCAGAATCGTACTGTGTTTATTATAGTACATCTTAATAGCTTTTAACATGTGAGAACGTGGCTTTCAGTACCTGTTCTGTGCCTTAGTAGAGACTCAGTGTCAAGTTGGAAGAATCAGTGATGTTGCCTAAAACCAGAACCTCCAAAATTAATTGTTCTTAAAGGAATAAACTGTATAACCACAAAGATTGCAGAGGAGATACAAACTATGTTGCTTTCTGATTCGTAAAAAAATTTCTAGTTCTCCGCTGTCACCATCTAAACCATTAACCACTTGGTATCAAGAATTATGGATAATCCGTGTAGTGCATCTTGCTTCTCTTCATATACTCGGTCATATGCTTGACATTTTAGAGGATTTTTGAAATTGCTAGAAATATCTTTTTTTAAGAAATAACCCTCTAGATTTCAAAGAATTGTATTGGTTTTATAAGTACATAAGTAATAGCAATACAAGTTCATGCAGAATCGTGAAAAAATATAAATCCTTTTATAGTTTTAAAATGTAATTTTCTTTTATATTATACATAAATTTAAATCATAACATACCATTGTATAATACTTCTCATTATAATTTTACACGTGTCAACACTTAATTTACGTATTTATAATAACTGACTTAGTCCTTAATATGATTTACTAGAGTGTCCTCAATCTGTCTGCTATTACTGGGTGTTTGGGTATTTCCAGTGATGCATTCTTACAGGTCCCATGCAGGGCACATCTCTGTTTACTTAGAGCAGCGCCTGACACCAAGTCCAATAATGATACCTGTTGTTATTACTCCTGCTACTGCTATTACTACTATTAAGTATTTGTAAACATCCTCGATTATTTTCTTGGAATAAACTCATATACACAGAATTGTTGGGTTAAAAGATGCGTACTTTTAAGATTTTCTATACCTGTTGTCCAATGGCTTCCAGAAAGATTGTGCCAGTGTGTGGTCCCACCAACTAATGAGTGAAAGACCTTGCCTCACTGAAGCACTGGATGTTTTCATTCTTACAAATACCCTTTCTGGATGACCTAAAATCTGAGTGTTTTGCCTGAATACAGGCATACCTCAGAGATACTGCAGGTTTGGCTCCAGATCACCACAAATAAAGCGAATATTGCAATAAAGTAAATTAC